TTTGGAATAGCAGAAATTAATTGTGTGTAATTTAAAGTGGTTACAAATATCCCCATACTTTGTAAAAGAATTCTCTATAAGACATAATACTACCATTAGAATTCAAAATATCATTTACAAACATAATTTTTCTATTAATGAAAGCATTAAACACAACAGGTACACCTTCAATTAAAATACTTGCATTCATAAAAAGTAATTGCTGTTTGATGTCAGCAGGGGTTGTGGGGGTCTTATATTGATATTTATACCATGCCGTTAAAGCTTCACTTAAAAAAGAACTAATTTTGAGGTGCTGTATGGATTTCAGTTGAAAAAAGGAAATAAATCAGATCCAAAAGCTGGGTGCATCCTCAAAGACCGTGCACTAAACCAGTCTTTGTTAAAATACAATTTTGGTACCCATGAGGCTTTAATGGTGAGTGCATGGGCAAATACATTGATAAGATTTAAACCCCCATTTTCAATAGAATTGTAAATTGTTTTCCTCCTTACTCTTTCAGGTCCTCCATTCCAGATAAAAGCAAAAATTTTCTGTTCATAACGTATAAAAAACTGTTTATCTGGCAATGGAAGGACCTGAAAAAGATAGGTGAACTGAGGAACAATAAGTGTATTAATAATTGTGACTTTACCAAATAGAGATAATTTTTTTCCTTTCCAAGGATACAAAATTCTATCTATTTTGGTTAAAACATGCTCAAAATTTACATTAACAATGGTATCTAATTTCTCAGGTATATGTAAGCCTAGTAATTTGATGTTCCCATCAATCCATTGAAAAGGGAGATGGGTGGGCAGTCTGAATTTTGTGTTTCTTAAGGATCCAATTCTAAGTATTTTACATTTTTCACTATGTAGGGAGAGGCCAGAAATTTTTGAAAAATCATCTAAATCTTTAACAAGGGCATAAAAGGAGGTTAAATTAGGAGAAAGGCATTAGATACTTAGTGGTTGGCACCTCCACCAGCTTATTAGCCATTCTGTACATTTGCATAGTCTGGACATTTTTGGTCTGTCTTCCAGCAACAGTAATGTATAAAATGCAAAATAATGCATTGTTGTCATTTATTGTTTCCTTTTCTTTACAGGTGTTACTTCTACCTGGCAAAGTCTGACCTGTATTACAGAGAGGAGAACATCCCAGGTGCTATCGCCTGCGCAGAGATAAGTCTTGATATCTCTAGGCAGTCAAACTATCCGCCTGAAGTTGGCTTGGCTAAGGAAAGACTGTGTTTCCTTCGCTCCCTTGGCCTTGCATTTTCACCAGTTTAGAGATACGGCCATGGCCATGTCTATATACTTTTTAGATATATCTAATTATAAACACAAAGTGTACTTAACGTACAATACCCTCCGACAAAGGTTCAGGCTTCGACTTATTTTTGACGTGTTTAGGTGTTTTTATCGGGCTTTGTTTTTATGGTGTTATGGTGTTTTTTGGTGCTGTATTGTACAGTAAGCAGCAGTTATTGGATGGTTTAGGAGTACTCGTTTGCCAGTATATAATTTTATGTTGGGATAATATTGTGACTTATACTTTTCACATACTACGATATCTTATAAAAAATAATATGCAGTAAATGAAAGATATTGTTATCATGACTTTGTCAATCTGTTTAGTAATTTGTCATGTTGTTGATCTTATGTAACCTGTATTTTTATAGAAACTCTCGGCCGGGGGTTTATGACCCCCACCCCAAGAGGGGCGGCCGCGATCTTATGTATGTGACCAGGGATTTAGAGATTTTTACGATACGTTGTTACTAGTTGTGAAATGCTTACACGCTGTTTACACTATACTGTTAAAAGTCTGCAGTGCAAAATATAAACCTTCACGGAGAATTGTCGCCTATGGTCACTTGTTTGGAGTGTGTGTGTGTGTGTGTGTGTGTGTGTGTGTGTGTGTGTGTGTGTGTGTGTGTGTGTGTGTGTGTGTGTGTGTGTGTGTGCGTGCGTGTGCGTGCGTGTGTGTGTGACCATCTGTAATACTGTTCCATCTCGTTAGTGGGCGTCTGTGCAACAAGATAGCTAGAACGCAACACAGATTGTCATCTTAAAGCTAAGGTCCCAATTGGGAAAAGGGGCCCTGGCGGGTAGTTCCCGGGCTGTTTTTTACCACTTTCGGGCGGGACCCCGACGTGGCCCCGCGGGGCAACCTGCGGCTACCGGGCTATTTTTTGGCCCGTCGGGGCCCCGAGAAGAATTTAATTCTGAGTTAAATTCTACCCGGGCCCCGCTGACAAAAAGACGCCGTGACCTCATCGTGAGAACACCGAGAGGTACCCCTCCGGTTGCCGGCAGTCCACCGGGACACATTTCTTACGTCACAGACCAGATGAACAGAATAAAGGTGTGTACTTCGTAAACCCGGGTAAAATGTGTGACCTCACAGATCAAATTATCACAACAAAATCGTGAATTCTGCATTACGTATAGGTCAATACAAGACATCGTCAGAGAATCTGCTGGGTACCTGACGGGTGCCTGCCGGATACCGACCAAAGAGGGTGACAAATTTGTAACAAAATGCTACTGAAGGAAACTTTTCATTGTGACCACGACAGCCGATGCCCGCCCGACTCCTGAACACGGCCGGGGCCAGCCGGGGCTACATCCCCGACGGGCACCGGCGTAATTGGGACCTTAGCTTAAATAGGGATTTATCCATGTCGATACCTGGGGCACTAATGTACACTAAAATATAATATCACGCAATCAAATTGCCATCCCATAATGTTTTACCTACTTCACTACAAGATGAAATGTGTACTTGGCAAAATGCATTGTACATTAAAGCCACTAGTTCATCTTTTTCCCCAAAAAAAGTTTTCGACCATACTACTACCATACTACTGTAAATCGTACAAAATGAGCAAATATATGTCTTATGTTGCAAAAAAAAAAAGGTATTGGAAAATGATACTAACGTCATAGGATGACGAAATCAATTCAGGAAAAGAAGAAAATGTGAAGAAATGAAAATGAAGAGTTTATTATTATTCGCCATACCATACTCTGTGTATGTAGTAATTTGTTCAACCTTTATCACCTCCCCTCCCCCCTCAGTGATACCCCTTGCGGGTTTTCGAGGGTATGCCAGACGAAGGCGAAGACGAAGATTTCATAATGAAGGCAAGTTTTGCCAAACTTTTTTATTCGCACGCTCGCATCAGTTTTGGGGTTCCCAGAGGATGTCATCCATGTCAACATGGCC